GTAATTTATTTTGTTGCTTTTTCTAAAAAGTTTACCAGAGAAATGTTACAACTTAAAAAGAAACATTTACAAGGTATTTCTGTTGCCTGTTTGCAAAACAAAACTCAGTTTTATAATTGTACAATTTTGAGTAGAAAGGTGAAGGAGAAAGAAATATTATCAGTTAAAAGGATAATGGTATCTGTATTCTCCACTCAAGGACCTTATATTGACCTAGCAGAATGTTTCCTGGAAGGTAGCGTATGTGAAAGCCAGAAGAAAAGAGACTGCGCGTTCTGTAGGCTGCTAGAGCAAGGCAGTGGGCAGACCTTTGTAGTGTTCTACTGTTGACAGAGCCTGTTTTTCTATCATCAGTTTTGCCTTCGAATTCAAATTCTAAGTCGTGCTGGTGATCAGTTTAATTATTATGTCTTAGAAATCATTAATAACATGTATCTTGGGATTATTACTCCTTGTATTTGAGAAGAAAAAGTATCTTAGCAGGAGCAAGATTTGGATGAAGCACTGAAGCTCAGAACAAGTTGAGGAGAGTGCTGTTGAGCTGCACAGAACTAAGCACAGCGTCAGTTCACACAGTGTCTGTAGTCAGTGTTCATGTTGCAGGGCAGTGTGCTCACACTATTGCAGTGTCCTTCAGAGACAAAGCTGACTGTGAGGCTAATTTCTTTTGGCCTGGTTAGTATTTGGGTGGGAGGCTAATTTCTTTTTATCTTGTTTGGGTGGGGGTTTTTTTGTTTTGTTTTGTTTTGTTTTTTTTTTTTTGTCTTTTTGAAACAGGCTCTCCCTATAGCCCCAGCTGTCCTGGAACTCACTATGTAGACCAGGCTGGCCTTGAACTCACAGAGATCCACCTGCCTCTGCCTCCCTAGTGCTGGGATTAAAGGCATGTGCCACCACACCTGGCGGGAGGCTAATTTCTTAAAACAAGTATTTTAGGGCTTAGAAATGTTGGGCAGTTTAATCTGAATTAATTCACATTTTCTAAAAGACTGGGAAAAGGAGCTCTGCATGCCTCTAGCATTCACTATACACAGATGTGCACACAGGTATGCTGATTAATAGCTCTTCTAGTAGCCAGTGGGTCATACTAAGAAATCCTACAATAGTCATAGCCAAAAGACCTTGTTGAAAAAAAAAAAAAAAAAAAAAAAAGTCACACTGGGACAACTTCCTGTTCCATTGTTACTTTTCAAGGAGACAGTAATAGTAGCAGCTTGTTACATGCTAGGCTGTGCTTCAGTCTTCTAACTGACAACAAACTAAGCTACACTATTATTAAACCCAGTTTGCAGATAGGAAACTGATACACAAAGAGATTCAAAGTAACTCCTCCTGGTTTATGAGACTAGGAGGTCCTGAAAACAGAACTGGAGCTCAGGAAACCAGGCTGGGTGCTGAGGCCCTTCTGGCTGTGCTGCCTAGCTAAAGGACCCCCACTGACTTACTGGGGGTGCTACATAGTTACTGGGCTCCTTCAAAATTCTGATGCTTAGTTCTGATGTTCTAGTACTTTATAACTAACCAGCCCCAGAGCATCCTGAAGTACCCAACCAGGATTCTCTTTACCAATTTTAAAAGATTCAGAAGATTTCAGATTTTTTTTTTTTTTTTCAGATAAGGTCTTTCTCTACAGCCCTGGATGTCCTCAAATTCTTAATCCTCATGCCTCAGCCAAGAACTGGGATTCTATGCATGGAACCCCACACCCAGCTAAGATTTATCTTAACATATTAGGAAGTAGAATGCAGTCTTCTAGGCACTTTGTGAACAGAATTAATATGAGAAGAAAAGAGAGTTCCCTAACCTTAGAAATGATGGGAGTTCCTGGGAACTTGATTTACTCTGAAAAATTACCCACAAAATCAGTTTTGGTTTTATCCCTCAGAAGACTTATACTTTGACAAGGAGTATTAAATATCTTTTTTTTTCTGTAATACGCTTGTAAGGTAGGTCAATATTAATAACCCAGTGTGTACAGCAGATACTCCAGGCACATGTCGAAGGTCTCAGAGCAGTTCCAGAACCAGAAGTGCCCTCCACAGAGTCTTGTGCTTAGCTGGAGTTGCCACATAGCCTCAGTTCTAAGAAAGCAAACTGTTAGACTTGAATTAGATGTGGAATGCTTTGTAAGCAAGTCCAGAGCATTATGCACAGAGAAGTGTTTTCCTTTTCACCTGGAACCTAAAACATTTCATTAAAATCATGTAGTTCTTTTAAAAAATTATGTCATGCTTGTCTAAGCTGTATTCCTCATTTTTGCATCAGTACAAAGTAAGGAAGATGCTCTGTTACTCCAAGGTGTCTTTCTCATTCATTCTCTCTCTCTCTCTCTCTCTCTCTCTCTCTCTCTCTCTCTCTCTCTCTCCCCTTCCCTCCCTTCCCTTCCCCTCCCCTCCCCTCTCCTTCCCTCCCCTTTTCTTTCCTCAGTCACTCTGTACAGCCCAGGTTGGCCTCAAACTCAAGATCTTTCTGCCTCAGCCTACCCAGGTCTTTTGAGTGTTACTTTGTGGTGTTAAGCTATTTTTGTATGTGGCCAGGCCTTGTCAGTACTCCAGAGACTTAGCTCTGTCTGAAGTTCCTCACTTCCCCCTTAGGCAGCTGAACATGTAATTTTGAAGTTATGTAGCAACTTTCTATTAACCCAGCTACTTAGGCAAATGATATCTCAAAGCAGTCTGTTTTTAACTATTGGCATAAGAAAGTTAGTATTCATAGTTCTCAGTAGTTAAAGTATTGATTTTCATTGGGCTATTTTTATGCTTCTAAGAAATACCTTAATATAAAATGACTCCTCGTTCTTCCTTCCCTCCCCCTCTTCTGAGGGGGAGTTGGAGGAGAAGACATTCTTCGGCTGCACAGACTTTGGGAAAGTGTCTGGGTTTTGAGGCCATGCAGGGGTACTGATTCTAGCTTTGAGGTCTTTAGCTGATCATATCATACAGATGGCCTCTGAGGCATTTTTTTATATTGCAGACATTTTAAAAGATGAAACATTTTTCCAGTAGGAAGAAGGAAAGAAAGAGAAGAGAGGCAAGGTACAGTGGAAGGTAGCTTCAGAGAATGGGATTGCTCTTGCTTTTGATGTACATCTTACACAGCCTACATCAAGGTGAAAATGACTTAATCAGCATCCTCATTGTTGGTATTTCCTCTCTGCTTTGAATAGTCATGCTTATTTATGTCCCAATTAAGAGTTGTCTCTGAGAAGTATGAGTTCTTCATAGTGAAGTCAGAAGGGTGTGGAGAATGTTGGTTGTCAGTATTCTGGTTTGTTTGTTTCTTAATGTTTGAATGCTTAGTTTCTCTGTCTGTAACTGTTCATACCGCTTGGTGAAAACAGAAGGGAGGCAAATCAGCAAGCTCTGTCCTCCACAGTGGAATCTGGGGAAAGAATGCAACTGCGGTTGCTCATGTTTCTTTCCCACAGACCCTCCATGGACATACATGCATGAGCACACACACAGTCTCCATTGGGTTGTATACCCCATTGCCTCCCAAATACAAGGAAGAATTACTTTACTTTTGCTCCAACACATTATTGTCCCTTGACTGCAATGCTTCCTTCTGACTACAGTGCTTCTCTCCCTTAGGAGGACTTCAACTAGTGAAGATAGGCCTGACTTAATCCCAGACCTACCACTAATCTTAGCCTGACTTTAGGTTACTTATTTTCACTGAGAATCAGCTTCTTCGTGTCTAAGATGAAGATTAATAATACATGGTGTTTTCCTAACGGTTAACTAGGAGGATAAAAACCAAAGCACTCCATAAATTACAAGCTACTTCCTTGTAATCCCCTTTTGTAGGCTTACCCAGTGCTTCAGGATTCAAGCTCTGGCTTCTCAAAGCTTCTCCCTGAAGCACTTACTTGGCACAGCATGCTGCCTTGGTGCTGTCCACTTCGTATCTCCTGTCTTCTGAAGTTGCTTAAGGTCTTGAAAGCTAAAACTCTTGAAACCAAATCCTCAGCTTGTGACATGTTTTTGTTGGATGCGGTAGCCTGCAGTGTGTGAAAGCACAGAACCAGGAAAGGAGACTGGCTCCTTATGTGGTCAAGCTTCAGAGTCCTGGTAAAGGAGAGCCATGATTTGCACACCCTAATCAAAGAATTATCGCTAATAAGAAAGCTGTGGCCTTCCAGTGACTGCGTCTTCCATGACAGTGTACCTAGGACAGAAGGGACGGAAAGACACCCACTGAGTGAGCCAGGCATTAGTGTGGAGTAAATGATTGGCCAAGGAGAGACAGCATAAGCAGGTCATGGCCCCAGCAGTCATGACAGCCCAGTAACCTTTAGCCAGAAAATGACCATTAGGTGGGACTCACTCATATTGGGAGTTGTTCATGTTAAGTAAATCCCTGATAAGATCAAATCCTTTAACTCACTGGCATGACTGTAGTAGAGATCATTCCTACCATATGAGTCAAAAAAGCAGCCAATGGTGCTAGGATATCATTCAAGTGACATTTGGGGCTTAGAAAATCTTTATCCATATGACTAAAACTCGTTTTCTAAAACAGGAATATCCACCTGTGTTACATTACCTTCAAGTGTGGAGCCTGTGCTATTACTCTCCTTTAAGTCCTTGGGTTTTTTTTATGTATAACTTTTTCATGATCTCCCAAGGGACCTTTGGTGTGTTTTATTTTAAGCTCTGATAAAAGAACAGTTGACTATATGTAATTCACCATTCTCAGATATATTCAACTAATACAATTCTCACCTTTGATGATATTTCACAGCCTCTGTGGATGGAACAAGATCTTGGGGCTTGATCTTTGTTGCTGGCTTTTCACCAAAATACTTGATCCTTACAATAGCAAAGCAGCCGAAACTTGAGCTTGAATGCAAAGTCTTGAATCACAAAGTACTCCAATTCACTGATTTCTGTGTGCCCTGTGTTGTCACCTTTTTGCTCTTGGTGTTTGGGGACCTTTCATTATGAGACAACAAAAGAGAGGTGTTTCTAATGTGTCTATCTGTGTCTCTTGTCATTGAGGTCATTGTCATGAGAAAACCCTGGACAACAGCCATGACAAACAGAAATATTTTGACAACCCACAGTCACTGGATGCTGCTGGAGAAGAGCCCTCTGAGCAAGGAGCAGAGGAGGACCCTGTGCTTTCTGTTGAGAACTCAGGGAGGGACTCAGATGCCCTTAGACTGGAAAGTAAGTTGATTTGACCTGAGCTGTGCTTCTGGGGGAAAATCAACTCTCAAGCTTTAGGCTTAAGCTTTTCTCTCCTTTCAAGGATTTGTTTCCTCCGTACAGCAGCCATTCGGCTAGAACCACATGGGTGACCATCAGATGGTGAGGCAGAGCACACTACTGTTTAGTGGTCTTCATACACTTTTCCTCTACCCTAGTCCCTCTTTTGCTAGAACAGACTCCATTTGTACATGTTCCTGTCTTTCTTCTCAATGTTACTATTCTGTTAAGTCGATGACAAAAGATAATTTCTTGGTGGCTTCTGGAGTCACTTGCTTTTGGCCCATCCCATCCTCAGATGATCTTTTTCATTTTCTTTCACTCATTCTTCATTCTGTGTTTATTTGTTGGGTTACCCAGTGTCCTGAGCCTGATCTTGTCCTGCAGTGTCTTGTCTTGTGCTGCAGATACCTAGAATTCAGCTGTCAGATACCTATGAATGCAGCTGAACCAACTGGTCTCCATAACCCAGGTCATGTTTAGTAGGTTCCTCATTTTGATGTGCCTCGGGTATTTTAAATTTAACCTGTCTGAAGTTGAATTGACTTTATTTTTGCCCCATTTTGTAAAATGTTCAATTCTCATGTTCCTAGTGTCTGTTAATACATCACAATTCACCCAGGCAGACACCACTTTATCTCCTCAATATAAGACCTACTGAATTTCCCATTTCTTCATCTGCCCCCTTTGGTACTGCCTGAGTTCAGGCTGTCTTCACTTCTGCCTTTGATTCTGAATGTTTTCCTAACTATAGCCTTTTTACAATATAGAGAAATACACTTGCGGGGTAGGGATAACAAACTTAGTGGATGCAAATTTTTAAAAGCAGAAATGGGAGCTGGAGAGTTGGCTTAGGTGTTAAGAGCACTGACTGCTCTTGCAGAAGACCCAGGTTTGATTCCCAGCACCTACATAGCAACTAACAACCATCTGAAACTCCAGTTCTAAGGGATCTGACACCCTCTTCTGACCTCCACAGGCATTGCAGGGCACAGGTCCATCTACATACAGGCAATACACCCATAAACATAACGTAAAAATAATAAGTAAGCCGGGCGTGGTGGTGCACACCTGTAGTCCCAGCACTTGGGAGGCAGAGGCAGGAGGATCTCTATGAGTTCAAGGCCAGCCTGGTCTACATAGTGAGTTCCAGGACAGCTGGGGCTACAGGGAGACCCTGCTTCAAAAAGACA